ATGTAAATGGATTTTAAAAACACTTAGTAGAGGTACTATGTTTTGGGTGGAGAGATTTTACTGTAAACAAAGCATGTTAAGATTAGATTTCCCCAAGGATCTTTCTAATCCAAAATCCCACTTGTTTAAGACCTTATTTGTACATTAGCTTTGTTAATAATTATGTCCTCATAGCTCCACCACTGATGGAGAGATGCATGAAAAAGCATGAGAAATTCCATGCCCACACATGTGAAAGACTATCTAATGGATCTGTAGAGATTACATCAATGGTTTGAAACAAAAACCATACTTAAAGAAATTGAGATTTAACAACCAATTAATTAAAATTAATTTTGGGCTAATATAAGCTTACATTATTATGATAACTTTAGTCAACTTATGTCATTTAAAAATCTGTGTTGTTTTATTCTCATTATATATTCTCCAAAGTATATAAAATAAAGAAGACTATAAAGTAAAAAATTAATGGCCTCATAATTCCATCTCTCAAAGATAGCAACAGGTTGAGTATCTTTATGTAAAATGCTTGGGACTAGAAGTGTTTCAGATTTTGGACTTTTTTCGATTTTTGAAATACTTGCAGATAACATACTAGTTGAACATCCTTAATCCAAAAATCCAAAATCCAAAATGCTCCAATGAGCATTTCCTTTGTTGGCGCTCAAAAAGTTTATAATTTTGGAGTATTTTGGATTTTGGGTTTTTGAATTAGGAATGTTCAACCCGCACTCATTTACATATACTTTACTATATATACATAGATAAGGTCTAGAACAAGAAGTGTTTCATTTGTGATTCAGATTAATCACAATTGTTACTAACTCTTTTATTGGTTAGTGTAAAAAAAAAAGACATTTACTTGCAGAGTGTAAGTGATGCTGGGTTATACAACACCACTTTATTCTAACAGAAATACTTCTAAAAATCCTAGCATACCTAATTTAAAAGTCATCAATTTTAAAAATCCAAAAGGTAAAAATTCCAGTATTTTTTCAAAAAAATGAATTTGCTTTTAGCATCACTTATATCAACAGAGTTTGGGGCACGTCACACGCTCATTAAAGAGTGCATAGCATTTTAGTGATCTGTGCCAAGGTGTTGAGAGTAAAAAGAATCACCCATACATATGTGTCAGTCAGGGTCCCAAGAGGAAACAGATGGTATACTCAAGTGTTTAATTGAAAATAAGTTCATAAGGGACTCTGTATAGTGGTGTGGGCAGGGTGTCTTCTCCAAAAATGTCCTATTGCCTTTTATAAGATCTTTCTAAGTGAGCATTTCACATTTTTCTTGACTCATTAGTAGAAATGTGCAAGACATTAAGATGAGTACATGAAGGGCCGGCCCGGTGGCGCACTGAAGAGTGTGCTATTAGTAGAAATGTGCAAGACATTAAGATGAGTACATGAAGGGCCGGCCCGGTGGCGCACTGGAGAGTGTGCCGCGGCGGCGCTCCCGCCAAGGGTTTGGATCCCATGTGGAGACCAGTTCCCGCTCACTGGTTGAGCGTGGTGTGGGCGCAACACCGAGGGTTGCGATCCCGTTGCCGGTCCCCGGTGCGGGTGCGACACCGAGGGTTGCGATTCCGTTACCAGTCAGTAAAAAAGACAAAAAGGGAAAAAAAAAAAAAAAGATGAGTACATGAAAAGGTGACCATCTTTTTATTGATCTCTTTTTGGTTTTCCAGTCCAGTGCTTCTCAACTCTTAACATCAAAGCAAACTTGGAAACTGGGAAAATGGATGAGGCTTCTAATTCAAATCTGCCCCCTTCTCACATTGAGAAAGAACACTAATTTCTTTGCACACCAAGTAATTGGGAAGTTCTGCTCCAGGCCCATTTCTTACTTTCTTGACCTTCTTCAAATAATATTTTCATAAACCAAACTTTTTCAATTATTGACCCACATCTTTTGTGTGGCCAATCTCATCTCCAAAATCATTAGCACATATTTTCTACTATCACAAACACCCATCAGATTCCTCAATGAATTGACTTTATCTGAGTCAGACATCAGACTAGCTAAACCTTGACCTTATGAAGAATATTCCTCTCCTTTTGAAATCCCAAACTTGGAGCTCCCTAGTACTTTTTTCAGTGTCCTTACTATCTACCCTTCTTATTCATACACCTCACTTACCTGTGACTTTTTTTTTTTGCTTTTTAAAAGCTGTCAGTGAAATGCATAGTCCTTTCAAAACTTGCTCCTCTTCCTTCAATTTCAGTCATTAATACTACCTGCACAACTGAGACTGGAATCCCAGAAGCTAGTTTAAACTTTGCCTTCCTCAATCACACATTTACTCAGTTATCTAGGTTTCATGGATGTGCTCCTAGAGTCTTTCTCATTCATTTATGCTTTTCCACTCTCTCTGCGCCTGCTTTAGTTCTGCTCGTCTCCCAGGATTCTTTAGTAAACTTTAGAATGGCATCATGCTTCTAATGCTTTCTCCCTAGATTACCAAATATTTCTTTAGGTATTAGAATAGATAATTGCTTCCTTTCCATTGTAGATTTTAAACATTAAACACTCTTACCATGAGTGGTTATTTACCTTTTAGGATTAGGACTTAAAAGATAAATTGACTTAGAGTAATGTAGGAACTTTTTTTTTTTTCTATAAAAGATGACCGGTAAGGGAATCTTAACCCTTGACTTGGTGTTGTCAGCACCACCCTCACCCAGTGAGCTAACCGGCCATCCCTATATGGGATCTGAACCCGTGGCCTTGGTGTTATCAGCACCACACTCTCCCGAATGAGCCACGGGCCGGCCCAATGTAGGAACTTTTTAAAGGTGCACTGTATAGTTTATTGGATGCAACTGTAAAAACTCGTCACAGCAATGCCCTCTTGTAATTAAAAGTTTCTGTTATTTTTGAAGTACTGCAAGAGGCTGAGTCATACATTGGATAATAAAATGTTAGGCCAAATATTTATACACTTAGGTAAACACTATGTTTAGATGGAATATTCTTAAAAACTCTTCCTGCTAAATTAGTTTTTTTTTCTTTTCTACTCAAGCTTTTCTTGCTCTGGTTATGATAAAGAGAAGCTTTTAATATGGTTTCCTTTGTGGCCAGTGCCTCATTGCTCAGTTCTGCAGAGTTAAGGAGCCCAAGGACACTGGTTTGTTTTCCCAATGGATCAGCTATCTTTTTGCTAGTCTGTGGTCACAGACTGTCCTTCAAACCATGGCCAATCATTTCATAAATGTTAGTCAGGAGGGAGACAGAGAAGGAGAGTCAGAATGGGTCAGTGGCAATTCATTATAAAACAAGTTAAGGCACATGCCCTACCAGAAGTGTTTCAGGAGTTTCACCCTCCTATACAGATACCTCAGAGTTTATTTTATTTCCATAATTTGCTGCAGATTGCACCTCTATGGCCTTCCACAGTGTTATTTTCTATAGCTTTCCATCCTCTTTCTCTGGTCTTTAAGCTGGATGGCTTACTGAATTTACCAATAGGCAGTGTGTTGTGATGAAAAGAACACGGCTTTTGCATACAGACCCTTTGTTCTACTTCTGGCACTAATTCATTGTATGTCCTCGGTTAAATTTCTTAAACTCCATGTTTCTCACTCTTCCTCTGAAAAAATACCTACATTATATGGTCGTAAGAATTAAATCAGATAATGTACATAAAGCACCAAGAAAACAGTACACGCATAATGAATGCTAAGGTTCTCTACTTGTCTTTTAAAATACATAAATAAATCTAATCAATTGGTCAGGAAAGTTTCACATGGCTACCATTTATTTAACACCCGCTTGCGTGCTTTGTAGTGCTTTACAAATATATTATCTCTAGTCTTCATGATAATCTCACAAGGTTATTTGTAATTATTTTCGTTGAGATGAGGAAACTGAGATAAGTTGCTGCTATATGGGATGCATGGTTCTTACCTAAGCACAGTGCATAGTAAATTGGGGATATAGGGTTATTTCTAGGGAAGTAGTTTTTAAGCATTACAGTTTAATAACTACCTGTAATTAAACTGCCTTTTTAAAAGGCAGTTTCAGAGGGCCCACCTGCAAGGATTCTGGTTCTAGATGGGACCCAGGAAAATGCAATTTTAACAGTTTTATAAATCAAAAAAATTCAGGGCCTCAGGCAAAGTAGTCACATTTCAACTGTTCTATAGCCACTTGTGGCTAGTGTCTACCGTTTTGAACAGAGAAGCTTTAGACCTTCTCTAGAATTCTGCATGCAGTTCTAGGGTGTTCATGGACCTCATGAAGTTCATCTTTGCTTTATATGGCCCTTGGTTAAGAATTGTTCCTTTCACATTTTTAAAGTCAGTTCATAGTAAAAAAGTCAACAAGTTACTTTGGTATATTCACTGAACATTATTCACATTTGCTTATGAATAAATTCCTTAGCTAAATCAAGCAACCTTATAGAAGCAGGAAAGTGGGCTACTGATTTGGACTTACAAAAATAAGATGAGGAGATAATAGCTGAATCATTTTTGACCTCTGCTCTCTATCCCTGTCTTCTGGTGTGACAATAGATTTAACTCTTACATATTAGGGTCACTGAGTCTCACCTTCCTGTCAAGCAATCTTCAAGGTCAGCACTCTCAAAGCATATATAGCTCTCAAAAAAACAGGCAGTAGCCTCTGAACTTACATAGATAAGGATTTATACAAAGCTTCCTTCTATTTCTAGCCAGTGCAACTGTTTGCCAATTCAAGGATTCTGGAGAGAGGAATGCGCCGATACAAAACAGACACGCAAAAGGTCAGACCTTGGCCAGGTACTGCTCGAAATCCTCTAGAAATACTCCCACCGAAACTCGGTAGCTCATTGTTTTTCCGTCGCGGTTTCAGTCCTCCACAGCAAGCCGGCTCCCCCGGCTCCCCGGCAGCCTTCCCTGTCCAAGCGCGACACGGCCCTGCCCGGCCCGAGGGCGTGGCTGGGCACAGAGGGGCGTGGCCCGCCCTGGGGGCGGGGCCGAGGAGAGCTCGGAGGCGGAAGTTCCCGCGGGCCGTGGAGACGGCGCACGCACTGCGGGTCACTTGTCAGCGCTCGTCTGAGGCGGAGGCAGCGCCGTGCGAGACCCGAGGTGAGTGGCCGCCGGCCGTGTAGGCGCGTCTCCGACCTTCCGGCAGGGAGGGGAGAAAGAAGATGAGCGCGAGGAGGGAAGCGCAGCTGGGAAGGAGGAGGGGGCGCAGCTCGTGCGGGGGTGGCTCCTCAGGTGCTTTCCCGGCGCTGAGCGGCGGAGGTGGGAAAGCGGCTTGGGGAGAGGGGCGCCCGGCAAAGGCAGCGCGGGAGTGGGCGTGAGGCCAGAGGGTGAGCACTGGAAGTCCCCGCAGTTCGGGCCGGCCAGGACAAGCGCACCGGAGACGGGTGCGGGAGTGTGAGACCGGGGGTGACGAGAGCGAGCGCGGAGGGGCTCCCGGGTACCGCCGCACCGGCGCGCCCGGCCGGCTGTCGGCGTCCCTGGGCACCCAGCTTGGCGTCCGGGTACACCCATGTCCCGCGCGAGCCTGTTGCGGGTGTGGGGAGGAAGCGGGACCGAACGGGAAAGGCGTGTAATTTTTTTTTGTTTGCTCTCAGGGTAGTGAGAAGCATTTATCTCCCCCCGATGTTTACAGTCATGTAACCTGTTTGGGAAAAACTTCCGTGCGTGCAGAAATAAAGCTCGTTTAAAAAAAAAAAAATCTAATACTTCTGTACTTGTTGGGACGTTTGTAAGACTGGGCTTTCAATGCGTTTGACAATAAGTGGAAAAAGGAAGGGCGTATGGACAGGGCAGAGCTTGGAAGGAAAATTCGTGGCTGCGCTGGGCAGGGCAGATCTAGGGTGTGATCGTCAGATCCTATCCCAAGTCCGCCTTCCTGCCGGTGAGGACGTCTGAAGCTGCCTGCCACGGAAACAGCCGGCTTGGGATCCTTATTTGGCAAACAGGACTAGGCGTGAGCCTCTGTTAGAAAACTGTCTCGTTGGCTGCTTTCATCCTATGCTTATGGCTTTAGTTCTTCAGTTCTACCTCCATCACCTTTCAACCAGGGGAAAAAGACAACATCAAGATGTTTCTCTTTAATTTCAGGCCCTTCTTGTCTCTCTCTACATTTCATCATGAGTTCTCCTTTGCCCCCTCCCACCTACCACAGAAGCTGGATTCAAGTGTGGAAATACCAAGCTTCCTTCCCTAATACTAGAGCAAAGACATTGTTTAGACTTTCCCTAAAAGAAAAGTCAGAACTCTACAGCTATTCCAATATTTTCTATGTGTTTGAAGGCAGAATAGGCTGCTATTTCCTGCCCGGTTGGTATTTTAGGAAGCGTTTCACCACTAATAACCAGATGGAGGAGACATGGAAAGGGCCAATAAAAATATTGCCATTGCTTAGGGATCAGAATGTTTTAAGGCAAATGAGTTCCAAGTGAAGCTAGCAGAAGGAGAATCTAGAAATAAAAAGGACATTGACTAGAAACGAAATGACACTGGTTTTGTAGTGTGATTGTGACCTTGCCAGTGCTAGCAACTTTACTAACAAATGGGAGAAGTCAAGGAGGGAGTCCCCGAGTAAAGGGAAGTTACATGTACATGGGTTGATAAATAAATGAAATATATTTTCTTGTAGGAAAGAATGGGGCCAAAGGGAGTTGATCTTTACTTTCACATTCTTCTCCTGACACAAGTTAGAGATTAAAAACGGAGGGCAGGTTGCCTGTGAAATATTTGCTTTAAACACTTTTGATTTGTATTGTGTGCCAATATCAAGATAGTCTTTCTCTACTAGTTTTATGAAAATCTTTTATAGAGGGAAAGCAATTACATTATGTGTGGCTCTCTATTATCTCTCCATTATTCGTTTTTCCCCTATATGTAATAGTTTGACTTCTGGCCTGGCCTTTGGGTTTTTTTCTGTGCCCTGTGCCTATTCTTCAGATTACTGAAGTAATCTGTTATTGCCTAGTAGTTCAGTTTCTAGGTAGAGCAGTGCAGATTTTCCAGGTTTAAGAACCAGGTTTATTTGAAAATTTTGCCTCATTTTCTCTTTATGAGAAGAAGGAATCTGTTTGCTTTAAATATATCTAGTGATTCGAATATCTACATCTGCCACTATGAATTTGGTGTGATGAGATAGAATTTTTTTTTTTTTTTGTGGCTGGCAGGTACAGGGAATAAACCCTGGACCTTGGTGTTATCAGCATCATACTCTAACCAACTGAGCTAATTGGCCAGCTCTGGAATAGAAATTTTGAATGGTTTAAAAAATGGAAGAATATTTTAAGACATGTAATATAAGGTGGTGATTTGGTTGGATAGCTTATATTTTCTAAGGAAGTATGTCTTAAACAGCTTTTTATTTATTTATTTATTTTTTTAAAAAGATGACCGGCAAGGGGATCTTAACCCTTGACTTGGTGTTGTCAGCACCACGCTCAGCCAGTGAGCGAACCGGCCATCCCTATGTGGGATCCGAACCCGGGGCCTTGGTGTTATCAGCACCGCCCTCTCCCGAGTGAGCCACGGGCCGGCCCTTAAACAGCTTTTTAAAAAGAGAATGTTTTTAAAATTATAAAATTATGCATCTGTTATATTTTTAATATTTTTAAAGAAGGAGCTATTACGTTTTTTTGTATTACATTAAAAAACAAAAAAACTCCATTCTTCCCAATCTCTCCCACCACTATAACAACCAATACGAAACTCTGAGTCAGACTTTTTATTATTGTTATTATTATTATATAAAAGTTCTACCATGGGAGTCATTGTGAGTGCACTTACAGCAAAACACAGAAAAAAAGAAATCACTGGAGCACTGGTTCTTTTCTAAAGCTGCAATTCAATTTCGTGCATTAAGGTTAATCCTGCATTTTTACCACGTTTAGTCGTAGTCATTTACTGGGTGGTAAATGCCTACTCTACTTTGCCTGATGAGGTGTGTGTATAAAACAAAAAGCAGATTCTGATTAAAATGTCACTGCACTAGACTATTGCCTGTCTGAAGGAAAAGTAGATATTACCTTAAGTGTGGAAAATATCATGTCCCTATAAGAGGAAATGTGAGTTGTAGTTCATAATTGGAGAGAATAGTTTTTGTACGTTAAAAAACAACTTCTTTTAAAGAATTTAGTATTTGGAAAGCATGAATGGGAGTCTACTGATCTGCATTCCCTTTCATGTTAGAGTAACAGAATTTAAGTGAAATTGAAAGATTCTTGCCAACAGTAGACAAAAGAATGCATGAAGTAGAGGAAAGAGGAAAATCATTTTGAATTAAACCTGAAATAAAATCTTGTTCTTTCTCATAAATGTTAATGAAGTGTTGTAAAGTACTTTGAGTTAAAGTTTATATGCAAGAAGCCACAAAATTGGATTGTAATAGTAAGCTGTAAAACTGATCCCGTGTCTGGAAGTATATTCTGATATGGAATTTTTAGACTGTGGAAATTGGCATGAGTGTAAAAATTGTATATTAGCTCATAGATTTCTTTTCTTAGACCGGAATTAATGAATCACTTAATATAGATTTATCTTCTGTATCCCCTCACCCTGAAGAAACAGAATACTGAACATAATTTAGTTGGCATTATATAAAATACATTTAAGTATGTAATAGGATTTCAGAGAAACAGTTTTGTTAACCATTTAATTTTCTTTCGCAGTTTCTTTCATTTTCTGGCATTGGACTTTGGACCATTAGAACCATGAGCAACTACACTGTGTCCTTGGTTGGCCCAGCTCCTTGGGGTTTCCGGCTGCAAGGTGGCAAGGATTTCAACATGCCTCTGACAATCTCTAGTGTAAGCATACTTTACAGATTTTATTATAGATTCAATGCCTGGTCCTGGAAACCTCAGGGCTGAGTTGTTGAATTCTCTGTTGGGCTGTACTTATTACAATTGCTTGTGGTATTTGATCTCAGCACATTTAGTTATCTATAATAAAGGATGGGGGAAGGGATTTAGCAAGGATAATGAATTTCAACTTAGCTTATTTTCAGTTTTCCCCCCTATTATCAATAAGAAAATGGAAAAGCATTTAACTAGGGGACAGGCTGTGAATTTTTGAACTACCCCTCATTTGGGGAATTCTCTGGGCATTAGTTTCTTCACATGTAATTGTAGAAGGTTGTGCAATAGGATTTTAATGGTCCCTTTCAGCTTCAAAGCTATTATTAAAAGCTTGATCAAAATTGAATAAAATGACTATTTTTGGTATTATTTCCTCATCTCACTTTCTGGTGGAGGTGATAGCCAACAGTAAAATGGCCATAAGCTACTTAACTTTGAAGAGGAAATGAAGGGCTTTGAACTCCAACTAGATAGCCTATCAATAATTGAGATTTGGCCTTTTACTTTATTGTAAATTTAGTTTGAATGTATTCTTTGTCCATATTTAAAAGATATACACGATGATGATGATACTGATGAGGGGAGTAATTACAGCTTCCATTTATTGAGGCTTGACTGTGTGTCAGGCACAGTTTCACTCTGTAACCAGTAAGTAATTATTACTATAAATTACTTGTGTAACTTTTTTTCTAACTTGTATAACTTTCTGGAGGGTTTGTTTTTATATATTCAAATAAATATGAATTTCTACTCCTCTTTTACTGAGATGGTAGCAAGTTATATGCACTATTCCATACCTTGCCTTTTTTTTTTTAACAAGTTACCGTGGAGAACTTTCTCTATTAATATATAAATTTTTTTTTTGAACAATTGTATAGTATTTTCTTGTAGGGAAGTAACATTTATTTAACCAGTCCTCTACTGAAGGGCGTTTATGTTGTATCCAATATTGCTATTACAAACAGTGCTGCAGGAAATATTATATATATGTACATATCAATATATATATATATGTCATTTTTATAGTTTTTACCAGTTCCCTCCCTCCACCTTCCCCAGTCACAGTCTTACCCAACAAACTTTTTGATTTGGATTTTTGCCAAGTCTGTAAATGCATCATCTCATTTAATTCTCACACCAACCTAAGAATTAGTGGTATTATTCCCATTGTACAGAACTGTGCTGTGAGCTCAGATGGCTGGTGTGAAAGAGCTGGCTCTCAAGCAATTATACTGTGCTACCTCCCTAATAATTCACTTTATCTTAAATTTAGTTAAGTTGTTTCTCTAATCAGATATTTAGAATGTTATTGTTTTGTTTAATTATATATGTATATGCATATATGTATAAATATATATACACACACTCTGCATCTTAATATATATGTATATGTATGCGACTTGACTTTAAAAGATTAAAAATGTTTGTAACACCTGCATATCCCTATTAAAATACTGCAAATCCCATCTTACTAATGGAGTTTCTCACACACTCTGCATCTTAATATATATGTATATGTATGCGACTTGACTTTAAAAGATTAAAAATAAGTTTGTAACACCTGCATATCCCTATTAAAATACTGCAAATCCCATCTTACTAATGGAGTTTCCTTTATTTGTTGGCTGTTGATTTTAAAATAGTTATCTTTATCATTAATTTCTCTCTTGATTCCAGTTAATTATATTTTGCCAGGAAATGTATATATGTGATCCAGCCCACAAGTTTTAAGACCTTTTGTGGTTGGATGAAATTTTAAATGTAAAGCATCCATGTGAAAATGTGTCTTGTGAGTTATTCCTACTTAAATGAGGTGGTGTTTTTTTTCTTCTACTGAAGATCTGTTATGAGGACAGGAACAATATTTGAGTATTGTCTGTTTTTATGTTATGTTAACATTATTTTACATTAAGGTTTAATATCTTACTTTATTTTAATCGGTTAAGGAAAATTACTGTTTAGTTTAAAATACTTCTGTTTTTGCTGAAAAATGTCCAGAAACAAATTGACAAGTGAGACAAACTTACTCATCACTTTGTTGTTTAGTAATAGAAATGCAAATGCAATATGTAAATTTCGTGGTAACATGCCTTTAAAAAAGTTTTATGTGCTTCAGTTCCCTGGCAGAAAATTTGAGGAGCTAGCTTCATGTTGTGATGCTGATACAACAGAACACTGTGTACATACATATGTGCCCTCCCCTGGCACAGAAGAAATGCTTTCCTTGTGTAGACAGAGTGCTAATTAAAGGATTTTGAACTTACTGATTAAAAGAGACTATGGTAACAAAGCTGCTGAGTTATTTCTGTTCTCTTACAAAAGTCTCTGCCATCTACTGTGACCTTTTTGGGCCTTGTGCAGTGGGGCATGCAATTCATTCTGAACTGGAGAGGATTGGAAGGGGAGGGGGAGGAGAGAAGGGAATGTTGGCTCAACTGGGCTGCTAGGCTGTTGGCCTTTCATTGTAGTTATTTTCAACCCCTTGTGTGGTTTAGTTTAAACATGCCTAGTAATGTTGCTTAGTAAGGATTTGTGCCTAAAACTAATTTATATTGTGGTAATATTATTAATGTTATAAAATTTTAACTTACTTTCATCTTAATTACTTCTTTAGTTATACTTATTCTGTCTTAATTATGTAAAATTATTGGGATATTTTTCAGTGATCATCAGGTTCTGTAATTAATAGTATTGAGAAACAATTAAAACCTGAAAGCATGCCTTAAAACATGTAATTTATTGATTCTCTTATTTTAACATGTATATGAAATTCTTAGCAAGGTCTGGCATACAGCATTCTCTCAATTGTTATCTTTTATGATAATATTATAAAATTAAAAAGAAACTTTAGGGACTTGAAATATTAAATCTTCCCCATAGTTGTAGGGAACACAGCAGTTATTTTTTTTTACTTAGAGTTTGCTGAAATTGAAAAAGAAAGAGAAAAATCTGAAGTTTGTGCTTAGCTGGGAACCTACATCTTTATATTTATCGTTCAAAAGTATACAATTTTTCCTCTGGCCAGGTATTACTATATTGGACTCCAAAGGACCATTTACATTCCTTTATAAAATTGAAACTCTGGGGTATTACATTGTGTTTTGAGATAAATAAGCCACTGGCAAAGACTTGAACATTCTGTTTTCTTGAGATTTTATTGTATCCGCATATGAATATGCCAAATATGACTTGGATCTCAAAGCATACAAGCTATAATATTTTAATATTTCACTCAGATTAGCTCATTATCTATACTATATAAATTTTGTATACTGTTTTATGGATGGATTTCTCAGATGAGTGGCAATGCCATTGCTAACTTTTTAAGAACTTCAGAATGCAGTAACTGCATGATCACATGTCATTGTCTTCAATTTCCTGTCCTTACAATGGAGTACTGGCAATAGGAGTTTGTAGACTGTTCTTTTTATGACCCTGTATTTATTGAATTGCCCTGAAGCCATGGAATATGGGGATGAGTTTCATTGTAGCAGTGTGGGTTTGTTGGTCTTTGCCAGTATATTTTATAAGAAGAAGTAGGAGCCTTTTCGCACAATTCAAGGCTATATTTTGGCATGTTGATGTTCCTCACGATGAAATTACAAGAAAGGTTATATTTTTGTGAATAATGTCTTTTAAGTAAAACATCCTAAAGTTGAAATACTCTGTTGTGTGTTGTTTTCTGATGTTTAGTGTTAGAGCTTTTTTCTTCACTGTCAGTATTTGGATTTCCTGAAGATGATCTTCCCAATTTCCCATAAAAACATTTTAGATGTTTCTTTAGCAGATAAGAATGAGGTTAGACTTTTTAATATACTCTAATAATAATGACTTTGACTTTGATTCTCAAGAGTTAAGGGAGGATAAATTATTACAAGTGCAGACAAAATTTTAGTTGAATTTGAAAAGCAGAAGAAATTTACCATTTCCTGGAGTATAGAGCCCTGTTTGGAAGTATAACACAGAACAGAGAGCCACAGAATTATGAAACACTTTGCTGTGAATTCATTCAGCAGTTACAGGAATACTTCCTAGAAGCCACTGAAGAAGATACAAAGTATTGGGGAGTACAAAGGTTGGGTGGAAAAGAAATAAGCACAGTACTACAGTACTGGACACTGCTGTAAGACCCATCACAAGACAGTATTTGAAGTGACAAAGATGCAGATAAATGCTTCTCAGTTTTAGTGGGCATAGATCTTTTGTATTTGTGGGAGTTGGCTTCCTTCAGGAGAAAGTAATTGAATTCATTCTCAAAGGATGAAATTTGAACACCTCAAAGACAACACTTTTCTCTCTTGGTTTTCAGTGCATAGTGAAGATGAAGACTTTTGTTTCCATTGCTTGACTCTAAGTAAAACTGTGGATATAGTTGAGTGATTCTCCAGATATGCCAGCTGCAGAGTTTCCTTCCTTGAGGAGGACAGAAAGACTTTCAGTCCTCTCAAGCTGAAATGGGAGAACTATCCTACCTTGAATAAATGGGCCCATTGTTAATTTTAAGCTGTTGAGTATTTTCTTTTACATTCCCTCCCAACTACCCTGTCATTATGCCAAGTTAGAAAGTTAATTTAGTTTGTGTAACTACATAATGTATATTTCACATGTATGTTCACTCTCTGCTTTTAAAATATTAAATACTTTTTGTGTGGGGCTCAGAGACCTGTCTTTTCCGATGTAGTAGTTTTCTATCTTTTCTGGTCACAAGTGTCAAGAGTCTCAAGATAATTCCAAAGATATTTTTCTGGTCTGTTATTTGTAAAGAAATGAAAATCTTATCAATATGTTTTATTGCAAGTTAGTTTTAGATAAAAAGGACTTTCTTATTTGATTTTATAAATATTGGACATTTTAGAAAGTTATTTGTTAAGAGAAATTTTACTGGTAGGCAGGAATTTTGTATTTGATGGACAAAACAATACTGTAGGGTTTGGGTAAAGTTAAGGATA